ACCTACAGTTCCAGAGCCAATGATCTTTCCCCTCTGATTGCCTCCAAAGCCAACGTGGCCTCCAGGCTTAAGTTCCAGGCTTTGGAACATATGCCTTCTTCCCGTCATGTGTCGTGAGCAGCCAGAGTCCAGGTACCATGACTGGTGTTTCTGACTTGCTGCTAAAGATATCTGCAACATGTATTATTTTATCCTTAGGTACCCAGATTTTCTTGGGTCCTGACTTGTTAGTTTTACCAAAACTCTGGTTGAATTTTGGTTTCACAGAGTGCTTACTGCTAGTATATTTGATGTCGTGTGTGTGACCATACACAAAGTGTGAATTTAGAGGAGTGTGTTTAATGGTTAAGTCCATGACATTCTTTGGTGTAGGAACCTTACCTTGGTATCCTATTCCTTTCCTGCCGTTTCTGCTAACTCCATAGATCATTGAAGCCATTCTGCTTCTATCTATGCTTTTAGCTAGGAACTTCTGGAAACTGTGATCATACTCCTTGATGATCTCATCAGTGTTGCTGGGAGTTTCAGAAATTGGTTCCTTCTGAGAGTTTTGTAAAGTGTTTTCTAATTTTGAAATTTTATCTCTCAGCTCAGAATTTTCCAATTTGAGACTCTCAGACTTATTAGAGTCAGATTCAAGATTCCTTTTCAGGTCTCTGAATTTAGCTATAATCTGCTGATAACGTTCCAGAATCTCATTAAGGCTTTCAGCAAGTTCAGCCTTTGTAAAGTTAACAGCGAAGTTAGGAAATACCTCTTCTGTGTCTGATTCTGAGTCTGATTCAGAAGCTTCACTATCATCTGGAATGTTAGCCATGAGAGCTATGTTTGCCCTTTCATCATCTGATTCTGAGTCAGCTTCAGACGAGTCAGAGTCATCCCATGTGGCCATGAGACTTTTCTTCTTCTCTCTTCCAAACTTCTTTTTGGGCTTTTCCCTCTGAAGCTTTGGGCAGTCACTCTTGTAGTGCCCTTGCTCATTGCACTCGTAGCAGATGATGTCTTTGGTGTTTGGCTTCTTGCTACTGGAGGAGCCTTCAGATCTTTTGTATCCAGAGGAAGAGTCTGTCCTTCTGTATCTGGAAGAAGACTCGTTCTGATCAGATCTTCTGGGATTCCTGAACTTCCTTTGTCTTTGCTTCCACAGTTGATTTACTCTTCTGGAGAGAAGGGAAAGTTCGTCTTCTTCTGATGAGGATCCATCAGATGTTTCTTCAACTGCCTGCAAAACTTTAGACTCAAATTTTTTGTTAGATTTTAATGCTAAAGGCTTACCTTGCTTCTGAGGCTCATCAGCTTCTAGCTCTATCTCATGACTTCTGAGGGAGCTTATAAGTTCCTCCAGAGTGATTTTGTTGAGATCTTTAGCTAGCTTCAGAGCAGTGACCATAGGCCTCCACTGCTTGGGTAGACTTCTGATTATTTTCTTGACATGGTCAGCAGTAGAGTATCCTTTGTCCAGAACTTTGAGACCAGCTACCAGAATCTGGAATCTAGAGAACATAGTTTCAATGGATTCAGATTCTTCCATTTTGAACGCCTCATACTTCTGAATGAGCGCCAGAGCTTTTGTTTCTTTGACTTGAACGTTGCCCTCATGCGTCATTCTGAGAGAATCAAAGATGTTCTTCGCTGTGTCTCTGTTGGAGATCTTTTCATACTCAGTATAGGAGATGGCACTGAGGAGGATGGTTCTGGCCTTATGGTGATTCTTGAAGTCACGCTTTTGTTGATCAGTCATTGATTTTCTATCAATCTTCTGACCACTTGCATTCACAGGGTGCGTGTATCCATCTGTCACCATATCCCACAGATCAGCATCATGTGCTAGAAAGAAGCTTTCAATTCTGTCTTTCCAGTAATCAAAGTTTTCTCCATCAAAGACTGGAGGTTTGCCACTGAATCTGTCTCTGTCCTCATTATTGTCATTGCTGAAGTGAGAATTGTTTCCTGCCATTGTGTTTTTCTGACGCTGGATCTTGTACTGACACGGTTAAGTGTTTTAGCTCAGAACCAGGCGCTCTGATGCCAATTGAAGGGGTGAAAAACACAAGAAGGGGGGGTTGAATTGTAAAACTGAAATCTAAAGCAATTGACAAGATATTTTTATCCTGGTTCGTTTGATCTCAAACTACTCCAGTCCACCCGTCAAGGTGATTTCGCCTCTCTCCAACGAGGTCTTAATTCACTATATTCAACTGAATATTACAGACTGCTTTAACAACTGCTAAAGCCTTCTTGATTCAAACCACAACCCGGTTTGTCAAGGCAACACTTTCTTACAAAGGTATAAAACAATGTGTGTGGATGTTTTCTACAAAACTTTATCACAACTGTGATGTATACACAAAATGAAGCTTAGAAACTAGATTGCTAAACTGTAATGGAATATCAGAGTATGTGGTTTAGCAAAACTGGTAGAACGAAGATTATGGTTCAACTTTGTGCGTGTAGAGATTTGGAGAGCATTAGCCATTATAATCTTCAAAGCCTTGTTTATATAGCACTTGAGAAGATGAACGTTGAATGCAATATTCTTGATTCAATGCTAATAACAAGCTTTCCTTTTTGAGCAGATCTTGTCTAGAATGAGGCCGTTGGAATTAATTAGCTTTCAATGCACAGTACCGTTGCTTCTTCAATGCACGTTCTGGCTTGGCTCATTCTGATTCTGCTTCACTGCTGATGAACTATTGTGTTTCTGTATCAGAGTGTTTGAGCGCAGTTCTGTTCATCAAGCTTCAGCATGTACGTGAGTTGATCATCTGATCTTGACGTTCTGATGTAGCAACTTCTGATGCTGGTGTATGAGATCAAATTCTGATGCTGAATAAACGTGATCTTGCTTATTTCAATCAGAGTATCTGCAAGTCAGAACATAATAATTTTAGGCAGCAGATAGTTCATTCATGACACTTATAAATACTATATCTTTTCACTTTGTTATCATCAAAACTTAAATATAGGGTAGTAGATTCAAACATTGTTCTAACATTATCCATTTATTTTGACAGCATGACATTGAATATTGTGTAGGAACGGTAGTGCAGCAGGCGATAATCATGTTCTAATGCTACTACAATATGCCAAAACAAGTGCCTTTAATTTTAATACATTCCATTTCGCTACAGTACAATCAATTTCTCCTAAATGCTACTTAAAGAGAAATCGCTACTGTAGCAAGCCATTCTCTTAAATACTACTTCATTATTAAATTACTATACACCACCAATTAAGCTCAATGTTACATTTAAGCCTAATAATAAAATAACACTTTAACTTAATTCCACTAAATTAAATCCGATTAAATATTACTCCAACTTAATAAATAATTCTGACTTCGACGATAAAAATTTGAATTAATAAATAAAATATTCAAAAATATTTAATTAAATAAATAATTAAATACCGGGCGTTACACTTTGACTCTGAAGTTCGACCGTGTGGTAGTTGTCATACAAGAGGCGAAGGATATGTCATCTTTGTCGAAGGAACATGTAATACAGTGGGAGAACTGACTTTTAGGACTGCACTTCAACAGTCATTCAACATTTCATCTCACCGTTTCTGTTGACTCAGATTGAGGGGCATGTCCTATCAGTAGGAGATCCACTACTGGATTTTGTTTCTTTCTCGGAGACAACCTCATCAGTTGGAAATATAAGAAACAACAAGTCATGTCTTGATCTTCATTTGAAGCTGAGTATACAGCGCTTGCAAATAGTACATGCAAGGCGCAATGGTTGCTATACCTACTTCAGGACTTCAGAATACCACATCCTAACCCTGTTACACTCTACTGCGACAACCAAAGTGCCATCTATATTGCAACCAACCTTATCTTCCACGAACGTACGAAGCACGTCGAAATGGACTGTCACACTGTACGTGATAAATTACAAGCTAAAGTTATGCATCTTATGACTATCAACACACAAAACCAAGTTGCAGATTTATTTACAAAATCCTTACACCTTAGTCCTTTTACATCATGTGTTAGCAAACTTGGACTGTTAAATATTCATTCCAGTTTGAGGGAGGGTGTTAATCTACCAAAGCCCGATTATATTAAGCCCAGTTAGTTTTAGGTTACCGTTACTTTTTTCTTTTCCTTTAATGTATATAATGTGCCACTGTTATGTAATATAGTTATTATTCAATAATTTTTTCTCCATGAGAAACTTTTATCTCTTCTACTGATATTTGTCGACAATTCAGATTTGACATACCAACATCTTACTACTCAAAGATCAAGTCATTTATTTGTTTCTCGATTTAACTTTGATTCTTTAAGATTTTGATTAATATGTGAATTTAAAATTTTAGGGTGTTTGGATTATCGGTGTACATAATTGATTTTAGTAGAATTGAGTTTGGTAAGAATTGATTCAAGCAGAATTAATTTATGTTTAAATATATTTAAGTAAAAGTTAGTTGAACAATAAATTTTAATGTAAAAATCACTCATAATCAATTCTAAAGATAAAAACTACAAATCCTACCTTCAAATAGAATCAATTCTAGTTTTAATAAATCAAACAACTCAAAATCACTCCGAATTAATTTTACAACTTTAGAATTATATATATATATATATATATATATATATATATATATATATATATATATATATATATATATATATATATATATATATATATATATATATATATTAAAATGCAACTTATTCGGTCACTGTCGTACGCAAATTTTAGATCTAGCACATATTCTCATAAAAACGCGACATTTGCCTCTACTCGTAATTAACAATGCATTTTCCTCGAAAACACAAGAACACTAGCTACTCCATGACTCCATCATCCATAATAAAACAAATTATAGATTGATACAATCCAAATATCGGAATTCTAAATTATGAATCTGTACCTTCAATTAATTTTCTCAACCTATGCTATTACAATTGTTACAATCTACATAAGAAATATGAAAACAAAATCGAATCGATTTCATTGCGTTACAATGATGACAGTAATAATAAGCTATCTGAATCCCATCCTCAGTGATTTAGAAGCAAGATTCAAAGGTTTCGGCGTTCCCCTCCAAGAATCCGAGACTCCAATTAGTGGTTGGGTTGAAGCTGAAGAAGACGTAGAAGAAATGTTGCAGAGATTGGTGATATCAGCAAGAGGAACTCTTTTGAGTTTTTTCTGAATCGCCTTTTTCTTGTTCTTGCTCTTGAAAGATGATGATGATGAAGGAGCAATTCGAGAAATTGAGATCCTGTTCTTGCAAACTGGTGGAACATTTTCTTTGTTGGTTTGAGCGGATATGAATATGGATATAGTTGAGGTTGAAATGATAGAATTTGATTCCATTGCAAAGAAGAATGAAAAGAAATTAAAATATTGTATTTTGGGAAAGGGGATGTGATGGAATCGAATGTGGGGCATATGGTGTATTTATATTTGTTGTTTAATGGTGGAACTTGGTTTTGAAATTGGAATGGTGGAGGGAGGTGAAAATTTAGATTTAATTTTAATTATGAAAATGATAAGTGCTTCTTGTTAATTCGTAAATGGTGGTAATAAGCGAAAATGAAAGTTTAAGGCGGGGAGGGATGATATTTCATTTTCAGGAAGTTACTTTCGAAAATGCAAATGCAAGCCGCCTTTTTTTTTGTTTCATTAATTTCATCCTAGAGTTAAAATAGATTAGATCTAGATCTTTTTTAAAATATGAAAAAATTATTTTAAAATCTATTTTGTTTTAATATTTTTAATAAAATAATTTCATTTTTATTTAAATAGATTAATGAATTAATATGTTCACGATAGTGAATTATATTTTGAATTTAACATTACATTTAAATATTACTCTATTATGATTTTATATGTGTAATGTTATATTTGTAAAAGATGCATGAGGTACGTAGCTTTCAAGAAAGGCGACGATCATATATTGTCTTTAAAGAGGTACTGTCTCATCCACACTCTCAAGTAGAGGTGATAAAACGGATCATGGCTTGTCGGATTAGTCTGTGCACCCGCCAATAAATAGTAGGTTGAGTTGGGATTTTGGATTTGTCGTCCATCAAAGTCCACCCCGCTAAAATTTGTCGCTCGTTAAAGTTCGTCATACCTATTCGTTCAATTTGTCCCACCTTAAGCCGGTCTTTTTTTAATTAATTCTAGTAGGTCAAATTTTTGATGGTTTTATTTTATACATTTATTTATGAGTATATGCAATATTTTTGTAAGTAAATTTTGTTAAAAATATGCTTTTTAAAAAACTGTTTTAAAAAATAAGTGAAAAATCTAATTGAAATGTAAAAAAGTCTTTTAATATATTAAAAAAATAAAGAAAATAAATAAATAAATAAGTAAGCGGGTAAGCCCGCTGCCCGCCAACCCTACACTTTGGCGGAATGAGTTATATTTTTATGCTCATTCTACTTGGCGGACTTGTCCACCCCTGCTCTTTTTTAGCGGGCTTAAGGCGAGGTGGGGCGAAACGGGGCGTAGGACCCGTTTTGCCATCCCTACCCCCAAGTACCTTTATCTCACCCAAATATGGAAAAACATGGGAAATGTGCTTTTTAGACAAAGAAAAGTAGGGATTCAACGGTCCACCATTGATTGGGTGGGTCGGTAACCCTTCCCAAAATATCTTAGACTCAAGGCTTTTATAAATACTTTTCCTCTAATGGTAGAGGACAAATTATAACTTACGCATAACACCCAAAGCATAACGCTAAGATACATAGTCTTTCACCTCACCTAAGTAGTTCCTTTAAAACCATTATAACATCATTGTACAAGGTCACACCTCTTTCATTCTTGTTCCTTCCATCTCCTCTTTCGATGATGGCCGATAAAACTCTACGCTCTAATACCAACACCATAGCCGACGATTTCGCTGAAAGGGGTATTTTCAACTCTTCCCGAAGGAAATACGCAAGGCAAGTCCTTTCTACTAATGTGATATCTCCTGGTTTCCCTAGGGAAGAACAAGGGGAAATAAGGGTTAACATCACCTTTTTCGACAGTGATGTCATAGGAGTCATCCCTCATGATAATGAACCTCAAATCATCATTGTGCAACATGGCATCTGGGATATAAAGCGAGTCTTGATAGATCTTGGAAACTATATTGACATCTTATTCTGGGATTCTTTCTAGAAACTTTATCTCAACCTTAACAATGTCAAAATGTTAAGTGGCTCGTTAATAGGGTTGGAAGGAAAACAGGTATAAGTTAAGGGCCACGTGACCTTAGAGACAGTGTGTGGCAAGAGAGAAGATGTCAAGGAGATAGGCGTCATCTACCTTATTGTGGGTTCCATGTCGTCCTATAATATCATCCTAGGGCGACACATCATCAACACACTAAATACGGTTATGCCAATCCAATAGTTGGTCCTGAAGTACATGCTACCTGGTGGACAAGATGGTACGATTCGAGGAGACCACTAAATCGCTCAAGAATGCTATTAGAATAGCCTGGTGTAAATAGGGAAGAGTTCGCCCTTGTGGGCTCCCCCATCCCTAAAGTCCCAAATGCAGGCCTTGATTTTTGGGATCCCAGATTAGGTGTGGATGTTGAAAGACTCACACCCATAAAGTGTTGAGTAAAAATATGGACACTAATAGGTCTAGAAGAGGGTTGAATAGACCCTTTTCCCAATTAGAAATTTTCAAAAACAATTTTGGGTCCCATGTATGAAAACAAATATTTTTAAAAAGGTGTGGAACCAAAACAAAAAGTGAGGCAACTTGGAAGCATATCAATGAAATAATACATATGAAATGATACATGATGTTCTATATGTATTTGATTGTTTCGAAAGAAAGTCAATCACAAGAATACATAAGTTAATTTTTTTTAACAAAGTTATTTCAAAACACATAGCTTATAAATTTTAACAAGACATGATTGAAGTCAAGATACTTCAATAAGATTGATACACCACTGTAATACGGTGGGAGAACTGACTTGGGTGTTTTTCATTTTATCGCAATTGTTGCAGATAGCAAGAGTCACCACCGACTTTTTTTATCTAATAAAGGAAAGGGTGAAAAGAACAGGAAATACCTTTCGAGATATTTTCTTGAGTTCGGGGGTAGGTTATGAAAAGGGAAGGTGTTAGCATCTTTTTCATCCATAGTTATCTATGGGCTCTTAGTTGCTTGATCACTTTGAAAAATGCTCTGTTTGAAATGTGTTTGTGATTGGTATAAGTTTGAAAATATTTTGAAAATGCCTTTGTTGTGGAAAACTTTGTAATGATTCTCGTCTATATAAGAATGCATACAAAGTGTTGGTTTTGAAAATAGTTCAAAGAGATGTTTGTTTTTTTTAAAGATGTTTTGAAAGTGTGGGGGTGGAGATGGCTTTAGTTTGTGAGCAAGCAACTACGAGCGTCCTACCTACTCAAAAGGTCTTTGTTATTTTTCTCCTCCTTTAGATGTTGCTATCTTACCATTGATTGGTAATAAGCCCCATATTGGATGTAAAGGGATGGGTGTGGTTCAAACATATAGTCATAGAAGGAAACTTATGAGACGTTTTAGAAATTTTCGTAAGGGGCTAGATCGTTTACCAAAGGAAACATCGAAGGGTCATCGAAGAACTATGATATTTTTATATCGAGGGTCTTTGCTAAAGCGCCCATATTCAAGGGACATGACCATTTTCCGAGGCAACAAGTGAGATTACCTTAAAGGTGTGCATGTGTGAAGTATGTTTGATTGCATGCATTGTCTTTGAGATTAGGGTTTTCTAACAGTTGATTTAATCTTGTCATACACACCCTAATTACTAACAATTTATATTAAAGCGGTAAATTGTGGAAATTAAAATCCTAAGCTATTACATCACTTGGGAGATGGGGGTACAATTTACAAATTGGGATGAAATAAGTTTAATTATTACAACCATATTGAATAGCAATGAAGAAAATATATAGAAAACATAAAAACAATGTAAAATAAAGGGAAAAATATATTTTTTAACCATTATGTGTCGACACATGCATCTATGCATCGACACATAACTTTCTTTGTCCCTGTAAAACCAAATTAACCTAGTATGAGTCGATGCATAATGGGATGCGTCGACTCATTTCATATTTGTGTCAACACATACGTGTTTTGTGTCGACTCATGCACCTTTTGTCTTGTTTTGGGGTCTAAATAGCAGTATGTGTCAACACATTAGGCCTTGTGTTGACTCATACCCTGTTTTGTCACCAAAATGAGTCGACTCATGTGAGTATGTGTCGCCTCATGCTGCAGTTTTTTGCCTTAAACATTGTTTTATGGTCTGTACAAGTCAGCTCACAGCATATGATTGATAAAAATAAACAGCAAGCAAATGGTTAGCTTCAAGGGGCAACGATTACCACATTTTATCTTCAAAGATGAATCATTAGTGATGTATGAAAAATTCAAAGCCAATAAGACTTACCTTGAGACTGCACTTGGTGTTTTAAATCTGAATACTTTTCAAGATGTTGTGAGGGCCTTAGTGAACCTCCAGGAAGTTTTTCCAAGTTGTTTGAACCACACCAACCCAGTCAAGTTGTACAATATTGTTTTTATGTTTGGAAGGTGAAGATGATGGCACTACAGAAACTGATCTTGTGTTCGAACAATCCCTATGTGATGTGAAGTGTTTGGCTGGTTGGTTTATGGGGAGTTTGTAAGATGGAATAATGGGTTGAGGGTTTCTGTTTTGAATGAAAGTAGATCTGGTTTTTTGAATGATCAAAGGTTACAAAGACTTCTGTTTTTTCTCTTCTCTCCTTTTCTCTCTTTTTGTCTCTCTAAAAGCCAGCCCTTGTGTGTTGTGAAAACAATCTATTTGTAGATGGACTTGACTGAGATTTAAGAGGGAAACAAATAAGTTTTTGAACTATTTGGGTATAATGTTCCATTTCTTTTTGATGAAGCTCTTATGTGTTAATTCTATGCAAATATGGGGTTGAGATAATTCAGGCTTGGACTGAGTTAGTGGTAGCATAGCAGGGCTATTTTGCAGCAGTTTTGGAGTGTTATGGCAGCTTGGTGCAGGGATGTTTTATAGCAGTACAACATACTGTTTTTGACATGGTTTTGAGCTTTCTTGGACAGCAACATTTGTAGCATGATACAAGTCTGTTTTGTGGACAATATAGTGGTAAAGTTTGAACATTGAGTCAAAGGGAAAAATTCAAGCAAAGCAAAGCTTAGGATTTGTAATCTTACAAAAATGAAACTTTATAATAACTTGAATTATTTGTAACATTTTGAATTATTTGTAACATCTTGAATTATTTTGAATTGTATTAAAAAGATGTCATGAAGCAATGAAATTAACAAGTATAGAAAATACTTAGAAAAATTTCCAAGTCTTGCAAAGTTGTATTTTTTACTTTCTTGATTTTTGATGATCAAATTTCATATTTTGGATG